GAGCCGCGCTGGATGCCAGCGATGGCGCACAGGTCGAGCTCGATGCTGCCGCCGCTGCACGGCCGAGCTAGAGGAGCGGCTTGGCCGTGGTTGGAGGTTGGTGGCCATGACGACCACCTTGGCCTTTGCTGCTCCGAGCAAAGAGAGCAGGGTGAGAGGAGACGGGAGAAAGAAGGAAGAAGACGGAAAAAAATAGAGATAGATGAAACACGTGTCGGCAGTAGCACAGTTCTACTTTTGTAAAATTTTAGTAGCACGGCTATGAATAGACGAATTGTAATGATATATTTTTTTAATTGGTAAATTTGTAATGGCATAGATCCAATTAACCTAAAATGTACTAGTGCTATGGAAGCTCTTATTCCGACAAACTTGAATACATTATTTATATTCATACACCCAAAAGCATATAATTTTAACATAATTTTATAGTGAAAACATATAATTAATGTTAACTGCACATATTTAAAACGATCTGTTTTTGAGCCGGGGAGTACTGTACATGTCTGTACGTACATTCACCTAACCAGTTTTCAGTTGACTCTCAACCAGTTTTTAAACGAGCACTCCGTAGTACTGAATCCTGAAACCGATAAAACATGGATAAACAAGGGGAGCCAGTAGAGCATGTAGCAGACTAGCAGCAACAGAGATTCCCAGCACAAGCACAAAATCCTAAGTCGATTAATTAGGACGGGCAGGCAGTGGCGTACTGGCATGGATGCATCCAAGGGCGCTCTCACGTGGGAAGGCCCCCAAACACGGCGTCACTGCCGGGGATTAAAGAAATCCAGATAGAGATTACAGATGAACGGATTTGGTGGATGAGTCAAAGGGGAGGTCGAGGCCATGCCATGTTGCCAACCAGGCGCAGCTGCCTTTTTTTCCAGAGCAGAAACTGCTCCCTTCAACTTTCTCTTGTTCGTTACCACCAGTAGCTAATCGCTGCTACTGCGTTCATCAGATCGTCCACCATGCATGCACACGCAAGCATCCAAGTTATAATTGGCATGGAGCAAACGAACAGGGGGAAATGGCCAGGGCGAGACGAGCCTTTGCTAGGCTTGTGAGTTGCGGCCATGCAGATGCAGGTCAAGCCGAGCACTTGGGCCTGCTTTGCATTAATATCGCTTGTAAGCGAGCTTATTTAAGGGCTTTTGGCGTTGCCTGTTTGACGTAGTTCTGCCTCTGCCAACAGTGCATTAGCTAGCTTCCCTGAAACAAGAAAACTGTGATATTGACGAAGTTTGAGGTTTCAGAAAAAGAACCCTGCTGATCACTGCTGGTAAAGGTGACAAACCGCATACATATTTGCTCAGTGTGCAACAGTATAGTACTACTACAAGTGATGCGCCCAAACTAACGAAATCACTTGGTAATAACTGAGCAAAAGCCGTGGAATCATATCCCTGCAAATCCGATTCATCCGAACATGCAAGTTACTCGACGTGACGAATAAGAGTACAAGCAGAAACATAAAGATTCCGTCATGTTCAAACGTCATGTCGAAATGGAAAAAGGAGAAAAGGAAAAAAAAGAAAAAGAAAAGAAAGGGTAGTTCTGCGTCGCCGAGATGGATCCAAGCCCAAAATGAGCAGGCAACGTAACCATGAGTGAACTTTACGACCTACCAGTGATCCTACGTGCAAAAGTGTGTGTAACCGCAAGGTAACAAGCGCAAAGCCCGCGATCGATCAATGATGAGGCAAACCAAAAGATCATTGATCTCTGCATGTGATCTTCTGGTGTTTTTGGCCGTCGTGATCTTCACTCTGGTAGTAAGATTGTACAAAAGATTTTGGGTTGTCTGTTTTAAGGGGAACTGAGAACGAACCCTACCGACTGAGAACGAACAGCTGATGATCATGGGGGCAACAAGCACAGCATTAACATTTAAGAGTAGCATGGCTAACAACACAGGGTCTAGTGTTTCTGGTACGTGTTTAGGTGAGTGATCAGGAGGGGGCAAGTGGAGGATGGGGGGGATGAGACGTTCGCTAGGTTGAGGGGGGTTTGGGCAATAGCTGTTGAAGGCGAGCCCCTTGGCGCACGCCCCGATACGATTTCGCGTCTCCTCCTGCGCGCGTTGAAGCCATTTGCTCGCCACACGGGATGGGAGCGCGTGCGGTTTGGTGCGGCTCGCCTTGGGAGCGCCTGCTTGGCGCCACGCGCGCGCTCTCGCTATACGCTACGTACTCCTGCTCTTTCTCGCGCGACACCGGCAAGGACTACTACTACCACGTACGAGTACGTGCGAATTGATGAACGTGACACTGGACTGATGATGGACACAAATAAAGTGGATAGGACCGGGCGGTACGTGAGTGACGGAAAGGAGGACAGGAGTTGACTGTTGGATGGATCTGTAGGGTACAAGTGAACAGGATCTACTGGGTACAACCTTTATATGTTCGCCTTTTATATGTTCGCCTTGTTTAAGGGTGTGTTTAGTTCCATGCTAAAATTGGAAGTTTGATTGGAAATGAAATAATGTGTAGAAAAATTCGATGTGATGTTTTTGTTTCAAAGTTTGAATCTAAACCGGGCCTAAGCATGATGTGCAAGCTTGCTAGTAATACGTCTGCAAAGGGAGTAAAATGTTCAGGCCACGACGGCGCAGATCGGCAGCTGCAGCTAGTGGGGGAACCGGAGGGGATCACAGGAAAGCAAAGGCGTGGCAGATTTTGGGCCGAGGGCTCTCACAATTTTGGGCCGCTTTTTACTTGATCTGGGGCACTCGGCTCATTTCTGCAGGTATTAACTCAAAGGAATAAGTTTATTTTAGGTCCCTCCTCGTGACGTTTTACTTTGAGTCACGCCATTGAACCACAATAGCAAATATAACGCGTCCTTCAACTTGTAGAACCAATGTATCCAAGGTCCCAAAACATATATTGCACGGTTTTAGCTGACGTGGTGAGTTGGCCCTATGTGGATCCCATGTATCAACGGCTTACTCTTCTTCCTTCAGAGCGGAAGGTGGGCGACGGGTAGAAGGGTGATCACTGGCGGGAGGCAGGCGGCAGGGAGACGCGGGGTGGTGGATGTGAGTGTGGAAGCTTAGCCGATGGAGGTCACTAGAGAGGTGGTGCTCCTCGAGCTGAAATGCTACGACGACAAGGATGAACCGGTCGTGTCGGCTGCTGGAGGAGAACTGCGGCATGCTCGAGGTGGCAATGAGCACGACCAAGGGATGGTGACAGCAGCGTGACGCCCTAGTGCCATACTTCCTCCCCCTGATACTGAAGGAGATGATGCCGGACCTGCAGGTCACTGGCGACTAGTTCTCCTGCGAGGCGGAGGCGATCAGGGAGTGGTTGCGCAGCGGGCACGTCACTTCATCGATGGCTAACCTAAAGTTTCCCTACCACAAGTTCATCCTCAACCATCCCCTCTGCGACACCATCCACGAGTGTCGCCTCCACCGCGCCATGCGAAACAAAGTGGCCCACTAGTGGTCGCCCTTCTCCCTATCACTCATTCCCCTCCTTTTGTTGCTTGGAGGCCTGGTGAAAGATGGGGGAAGATAAGGGAGAAACGAGGAAGAACGCCATCTGCTGCACTTCTAGTCCGTAGCAGCCATCGCCCCACCCCAAGTCGGCAGTCATTCTTCTCCCTGCTGCTTGCTGTCCTCTCGTCAGCTACCTCACCTTCCCCGTTGGCCACCCCTCTACAAGTCGCCGGCCGCTCTCTACGCCGCAGGTCGCTCTCCCGTCATCCCTTCCACAGTGGCCGCCTCTCTCCCTATCAAGCGCCGCTCGCTACCCTACTATCGGCCTCTGCTCGAAAGCTTGGTGAGAATCTCAGATATGGGGAAGATATGGAAAAGGGAGGGAGAAAGAAGGAAGAAGAGTTGGCCGCTGACATGTGGGGCCCACTTGCCACATTAACCAAAACCGGGAACTATACTATCCTGGGATCTTGGATATACAGGTTTTGCAAGTTGAGGGCAACGTTATATCTTGTATTCCAGTTCAATGACGTTATTCAAACTCGGCGTCAAGATGAGGGATCTATAGTGAACTTATCATCCTAACTGATATCCCGCAAGTGGGCCTTGGCGATTTAGACATGGCGGCACTGGGTCGGCACCTTCCAGCCCAAAATTGCCGTTCCAGTAGCCCTTTCCCACCGGAGTATCTTGTCTTCACAACTTAATTGGGCCGGTGTACACAACTTCAGCCCACGGTTTTATATACAGTTCGAAGCACAAAGTGAAATGCAGGACAACCAGGATTATACTCTTGTCGTAGTACCTATTTTCCCTGGAATTTGCACTCTACTTTGTGTATCCCTGTAGTAACATCGTTTGAAAATATGCCCCAAAAGAATCAACTTGGTTTAAAAACCATATATCTCCAGTATTCTCAGCAAAGGAACGTTATCGTCCAATCTGAAGTTCATCTATTTCTTGGGGCCTCAGCTGGAGGTATTCGATTCCTTCAGACTTCATATTGGAGAACGCGGATACAAGGGCAGTTTCTGCAAGCAATATCTTACTGGATATCAAGTTGACTTTGCTGAAGGAGAGCCTAAAAGTTTCTGCCTTTCTAACAAAAGCTACAGCGTCACATCTGTTGCAGTAATAAATACCGGGATTACCATTACCATTATCACAAAAACCATCAGTTCGCATCCACTTGGATCTATCCTGACGTCCTTCCGTTCACAGCATACCCAATCTTGTCAATTATTTGTGTCTGTGATGTAAACACGAAAAAGGCCGTAAATTTAGCCGATTTATTTGGACGAAGTCTTGAAGGAAATGTTCTCTTTGGTTTTTTATGCAACTCGTTCACATTTTAGTGGTCATATTTTCGTTTGGGCTTACTATACTTTGTGCTCTAGAACTCTGGTTTGTTTGAAGGAGCCCTCCAAAATGTGCTTAGTCAAGTTAAAATTATCCACTAGTCTTCATCTACTGGCTAGTTGACCACCTTCACACATTGGGTTTCGTCAAACCATTATACTTGGTCAGATTTCAGAAACTGTACTCGGTATGTATCAATCAGTATTTAAGAAAGCATCCGTATTTCACATTGTAAGAAGAAAGATATGATCTTCCAAAGAAGCAGAAGAACATACAAGAGGATGAGCTCCTACTATACTTACAAGGAGGCAATAGATGATCAGAGACGTTTTTCGTTATTCCTTAGGAAAAGTAAAAAAAAATGAAAAAAAAAGTTTTGACTTGAAAGGGCTCAATGCTAATTGAGCTCATTCCCAGGCCAAATACTTGTCTAATCTCTATAGAGTAGTATAGGTTTACAAGAGTAGTCATCACCAGAAAATAACTTTTGGTGGGAAACTCTCTTGTACTAAAAGTTACTAACCATTTTGCGTTCACACTGCACGCTATGCAAGCCATTCAATCCGACCATCTCTGCTCCATGGTTACCCCGGGAAGCTCTTCCGGCCGCCGTTGCGGCGCCGCCTTCTTGCCGATGATCGGCTTCGCTGGGTTCCCGACGGCCGTGGTTCCGTCCGCCACGTCCCGTAGCACGACTGCGCCGGCTCCGATCTTCGCTCCGTCGCCAATGTGCACATTGCCGAGCACGCTCGCCCCGGCGCCGATCAGCACACCGTCCCCGACCTTGGGGTGCCGGTCGCCGGACTCCTTCCCCGTGCCGCCCAGCGTCACCCCGTGCAGGATGGACACGTCGTAGCCGACGACGGCCGTCTCGCCGATGACGACGCCCGTGGCGTGGTCGAGCAGGATGCCGCAGCCAATGCGCGCACCGGGGTGGATGTCGACGCCGAACACCTCGGAGGCGCGGCTCTGGAGGAGGAGAGCCGGCGCCCTGCGGTTGTCGGACCAGAGCGCGTGCGCCGCGCGGTGGGCCTGCAGTGCCAGGAAGCCCTTGTAGTAGAGGAAGCAGTGGACCATCTTGGCGCAGGCCGGGTCGCGGTCGCGCGCCGCGACGAGGTCGGCGCGCGCGGCGCGCCCGGCCTCCGGGTGCGCGGCGAGCGCGCCGGCGAGGAGGTCCCGGAGCTGGTCCTGCGGCAGCGCGCCGGGGATGCAGAGCTTGGCCGCCAGCAGCGAGGCGAGCGCGGACTCCAGCGACGGCCGCGACAGGACGAGGTCGTGGTAGAACTTGCGGAGGAGCGGCTCGTCGTCCGCGTCGTCCTGCGCCTCGGCGCGCAGCACGTCCCACACGTAGTCGCCGCTGCTCCCGCTAGCGGCCGGCGCCGGCGCCGCCGATGCGGTGACCACCGGACGGTCCGTAGCGGTGCAGTCCGGCAAGACGCAGTAGAACTTCTCCGGCAGGCGGCACAGGTACGCCGCCGGCGGCCACTTGTCGACGCAGGCTGCCATTTGCGCCGCCTAGAGAGAGAGAGAGCGAGAGGCAGAGGCCGTGGCGGTGGTGGTGAAATCGCAAGAGGAGAATGGTGACACGAGCGGCTGGTGCTTGAGCTACTATATATATGTGTCACTGGAGAGAGGAGGCAGAGAAGTTTCAAAGAAACTTTCTGAGATGGAGGTTTCTTTGGTGTCAAGGTAGCCTTCTGTTAAAATTTGTGTTTGACCGCCGTACGTTTGTGTGCCCATGTACACATCGACTGCACAACAGAAATAATTTTACTGGGCATCTTGTAATTACACACGTACTACGTGGACCGTGGACGTACGTGTCGTGCCCATACAGATAAAATCTTGGTCCTTTGGAGAAACAGAAACGCATTCTTCTTTTCTTTTGCGAGAAGAAACGCATTTTAGTGGATGACCAACAGGATGGACACGCAAAAGGAGCCATGATCGATGGAACTGTTGAACTCGAGCATATGCCCCAAAGGATAAAAGATCAATCGGCAGTGTGGGCAACAGTGCAAGATTCCAACAGCAACTTTGAGGTTAGAAAAAGAATTTGCTGCCGAAACGGCAAAGACAAACGAGACGCCCCGCGCACAAAGCCACACGGTGACGAACGCCTCGTCACGCACTTGGCTGTAGTGGAGTACCAAATTGTACGCGAAAACGCGCGCGATGATGGGGAAGGAGGGGAGAAGGGAAGCGGCGGCGATGGAGGCGGACAGCGACGCGAAAGCCGAATATTGCCCCGGGAGGATAGCGTGGGGGCAACTTGGTGCAAAACCGCACACGCACGCACGCTCTCCCTCTGCCGCTTGTGTGCCGCGCGGCGTCTGGTCGAGGCGTCGCTGCGGGTGCCCGCCGCGAACATCGTATCCCCGGCCCCGCGCGCGATCGTGTGGGATACGCGCGGGCGGAAGATGTCGCGCTCGGTGAACATGTGTGTGCAGTTGTGCACGCCGGCCGTAACATGTGTGGCACCACACAAAGCAAGATCTGTTTTTGCTCGCATTTTCTTCACGCCTGAAATCTAACACACACACACACACAAACAAAACGTCTTGATAAGGCAGAACCAAATTTAAACTTTAGAACTGATTTTTAGGTTTTTTTTAAACTTTTTTTTACTTATTCTTCGGCATCAGTTTTGATTAGTGTCCCCAACTAACAATAAGTGCGAAGTGTGTGTGTGTCTATATATATATATATATATATATATATATATAGTTTTGGAGGGAGAAATAACACCAGATTATCCGCATGGAGATTCTAGTACAACTGTAGTCATCGATCCTGTGTTGACTATTGACCATAAGTAACATGAGCAAAGCAAACCGAAAACAGTTCGGATCGAGTGTCAAACTCTTTGGGATTCATTGTGCAGTCCCACATACAACATCACACCCAGAAGCCATGAAAGGACGCCGCAGCGAATCCTAGTTAGCCAGGAAAGGATGACGTTTGGAGTGACGAGGTTAGGAGAAGTCGTCGGGTTCGGCTAGCTGAACCTGCACCTGCGATATGATTCTCGCATAACCTTTGGAGGTTTGACTGGGGTCTTCTCCTCCCAGCCTTCTTGAGATGCAAGCAAAGTGTCACTGGGCTATCTAATTATGCAAATGAGATGATGCAAGGGCGTACGTGGTAACGTGGGGCATTCAGGAACAAGGTTAGGGGATGACATCCGCTAATTGACAAACAAAGTTTTTCGATGGGTCGCATGTCTAGCTAACAAAAACTACTGCCAGCTGAGAGCTGACACATGCCTCACTTGCTGACTTATTACGAGCCTAGTTGGTTATCCATATTTTCTAATAAATCAAAATATTTATCGGAGAATAAAATTGAATTTATAGTTAAAACTTTTATATATTTATTTGTAGCGATTTAAAAGTCAACTAGCTGGGTGTCCCGCGCATTTGCGCGGCTAGCACCTAAACAAAATCATATATTTTTTTAAGTATGATTTTACTTAAAATTTATTAAATAGCTATCTTATTGTTTTAAGACTTTGAAAGACTAAACCTTATCATCCTTGTGTTTTTAATTATATAGGCTTTAAAAGTCACACCAGTTGCTACCCGTTATGTCATCTCCTTTTTTATTTGCTTGCTTGATCTACCACTATTTCTATTCATTCTTCTTTGAACCTTTAAAAATTGGATTTTATAGTTTTTAGAGTTTATTATCACGTTGGGTTACATTTTTATAATTTCTAGAGTCCCGTCAAACGTTGCCATTATACTCCTCTGTGGTCCGTCCATTGTCTCTTCTCTTTATTGTCATTGAGATTTTTAAAATCAAATATAATTATCGTTTGGGTTCATTTTCACTTTTTAGAAGTCCCGCCAAACCGTCAGCGGCTTTACTATTGTACTCCTCTACGGCTCGCCCGCTGCCTCCTTTCTTTATTGTTATTGATATTTTAAAATCGAACATGATTATCATTGTTTTTTTTTTACTTTTTAGAAGTTCCGAACCTTTAAAAATTGGACTTGTAGTTTCATTTTTCATAATTTTTAGAAGTCCCATCAAACAATGCCACTATGCCCCTCTACAGCCCATCCGCCGTCTACTCTTTGTTGTCATTGTGATTCTAAAAATCGAACATAACTATCGTTAGAATTCATTTTTTATTTTCTAGAAGTCCCGTCAACTGTCGGTGGCTCTGCAACTATGCTCTTATACACCCCGCCCGCTGCTTCTCATTTTTATTGTCATTGAGATTTTAAAAATCGAATATGATTATCAATAGGGTTTATTTATTTTTTACTTTCTAGAAGTTCCGATAACCGCCTTACTCGTTTGCTTCACGGCCTGCCTGACTTCCCTCCTTTTAATCATCATTAGGATTCTATTTGGTGTTTTATTAACAATTTTTATATGTCGTATCAACCGTCACCACTCTACTTCTTTATAAGCCTGTTACTTAATTTATCTCATCATGTGTTTTAGATGGTTGTCTTCTCTTTCAATAATCTTTATTTGTATCACAATTTTTAGTTATTTATAAATTGTATTCCTAATTGATCTTATTTTTCTTTTTCTAATTTCAGATTTTTTTAAAAAAAATTAGTTAATACCGTATTCTGTTCTTTTAATGTTTTTATTTTTTATTTTCAATTTTAGTTATTTTAAAATTGTATTCCTACTTGAACTCTCTTTTATTTTTTCTAATTTTAGATATTATTTTATTTTTTATTCTAAATTTTAATTAATCTCGTATTGTGTTATTATATGGATTCTTCTTTCAATATTGCTTATTTTTAATTCCGAATTTCAGCTAATTTTAAATTGTATTTCTACTTGAACTCCTTTTTATTTTCTTTTGCTAATTTCGGATTTATTTATTTTTATTCTGAGTTTTAATTAATCTCGTATTGGGTTCTTCTTTTAATATTCCTTATTTTTAATTCCGAATTTCAACTATTTTAAAATTGTATTCCTACTTGGACTCTCATTTTTCTTTTCTAATTTTGGATTTTTATTTTTTATTTTTATTTCGACTTTTAATTAATCTCGTATTGTGTTCTTATATATATGGAAACTTCTTTCAATATTGTTTATTTTTAATTCCGAATTTCAGCTATTTTTAAATTGTATTTCTACTTGGACTCTCCTTTCCTTTTCTAATTTTGGATTTTATTTTATTTTTATTTCGAATTTTGATTAATCTCGTGTTGGGTTCTTATATGGAAACTTCTTTCAATATGCTTATTTTTAATTCTAAATTTCAGTTATTTTTAAATTATATTTCTACTTGGACTCTCCTTTCCTTTTTCTAATTTTAGATTTTATTTTTTATTTTATTTTAAATTTTGATTAATCTCGTATCATATTCTTATATGGAAACTTCTTTCAATATGCTTATTTTTAATTCCGAATTTAAGGTATTTTTAAATTGTATTTCTACTTGGACTCTTTTTTTCTTTTTCTCCGATTAATGTGGGAATTTCTAGCCCCCCACAGCGAACGTGGTGCCTGAAAGGACCTTAATGTCACCTAGAGGGGGGGGGGGTGAATAGGCGTTCCTAAAAATTATCAGAACTTCTTAGCATATTAGAATGATGAGAACTTTCGGTTCAAATAGGAACTTCCGATATGAGATTGGAAGTTCCGGTCTCAACCGAAAAGTTCGGCGGATAATGGAAGAAAACACTAGCTATGAACTTGTAGCTCAAATAAACAAAATGTATATGAATCAAAAGGAGACAAATAAGGTATCTAAACAAGATATAAGGTCACCAACTAAATTAATTAAGCATACAAGTAGATCGGGTAAAAACAAGCTCAAGTACAATATGAGAGAATGCACAAATGGGCAAACCAAGAGAGGAGACACGTGATTTGTTTCCCGAAGTTCGGATCTACGGATCATACGTCTCCGTTGAGGAGCCACAAGGGCCAAGTCTATTTCAACCCTTTCCTCACGAGGTTGCACAAATGCACTCCTCGGTTTCACTCTTGATTTCTTCCCTTGTGGAGGCGAAATCGAAGCCTTCACAAACTTTCCGTGGCACACCACAACCTTGGGTGCTCACCGGCGATGCCTAGCCGTATAGGAGACCTTAGTCCCCAAGAGTAACAAACACAATCGAAGATTTGCTTGCTATGAACTCGAGTGCTCAAAGTATGGAGTGAAGCTTACTAGCTCTCAACTTCTCAATCACTCAATCCAACTCTTTCCCCTTCTCAAATCCCTCTCACAAAGAGGCAACACAAAGGATGGAGTGAAGCTCACTAGCTCTCAACTCTTCACTCTCTCAATCCAACTCTCTCCCCTTCTCAAATCCCCTTCACAAAGAGGCACCACAAAGGTAGAGAAATGGGGATGGCTATTTGGCTTTGGATGTGTCTAATACTCCCCAAGAGTAGCAGCCACTCAAAGGAGGGGTGGAGGAGTTTATATACCTGAGCCCCTCAAAAACTAGCCGTTGGAGGCTAAGACTGTAATTTTCGGAGTTTCTGAAAAGCATTTTCGGACAAGTCCGAAAACTTACAGAAGCAAATCTCAGATTCGCAGCTATTTTCGGAATGTCCAAAAATTTTCGGAGTTAACTCCGAAAATTTTCGGAGTTTCCGGTAACTTTTCGCTCGGGAGTCCGTTTTTGATGAACTTGGACTCTATGGAAAGCTCACTCAGAGGACT